CGTTAGCTTTCTAGTGATGCAGATTTTGATAATGTGGATCTCATCAGTAACCTTTCTGCTAATTCTAGTAGAAAAATTAATGTCCCCCTGCCTTACCTTCTCAGATATCTAGTATCTTTGGGATGTGTCATTCAGTTTTTATGTCAGTGTGATTTGATTTTTGTGTGTGTGATTGACTAAAGTCCAAATTCTGAAAAAGGGGTAAGAGTAAGCGTATTTTTGTTAAAAAGAAATAGTTTCAAGAAATCTTCTAGGACTGTTGCCTTTGCAGAATCTTTGGTTCTAGACAGGTTAACTGAAGTTTTCCTAACAGCTCCATACTTTACAGGATTCTAGTATAGGTACTTTTTAGACCATCGACCTCTTGCAGGTTCCTGGTAGGCAAACCATAGATCTATGATTTGGGGACCTTTCTAGTCCAACTGCATACTTCTGGGAGTGGAGAATTTTGTAGATGGTGTTTCTTTGGATCCCTGGGGTTTATGGAGTCCAAATTGGGTGGGCCAGCACTTCTTTAAATAGTTCTCACCAGCAGTACAGTAATACTTGAGTATTAATGTAGGCTCTGTTTGCCATCATTCCACACTAGGCAGCAGTACTTGTTTCCTGGGTTGGTTGTTATAGTACTAGGTACATTCTGAATCAAATTCCTTTTTCTACCTACCACTCTTGTTCTATAGGCACTACATCCATCCCAGAACTCTGCCCCCTTCCCTCATATAAAGGAGCATCAATAAAAGAACCATTTCTGAAGTGAAACTTGATTTAAAACCAGGGCCAGAAAACTTTGGCTTTTCTTTACAGAAGTTCAGCTTACCTTTTCCCCCTTCAGCTTCCTCTAATTAAACTGGATATCAGAAAAATTAAAATCATAAAACATTGAATTCATTTAAAAACTAAAATGAATAAATGTGTTTTCTGTTTTTCATTTCATTGTTCTTGGAAAATCTTGTATGTTAAGTAATCTTTTATTTGGCTAATAACAGCTTTTATTTACTAAGCATTTATGTATTAGGTACTTTACTCCTTTAGCTACTAAAGGAATTTAAGCATTTTAACTTTATCTTTACAAGAGCCTTTTGAGGTGTGGTTTCCATTTTAAGATGAGAAAGTCTCTAAGAAGTTTTAAGTTGACTCAGGTGCCTAACTAAGTAAGTGAGTTATCTACATCTGGTGGACTCCAAAGCTTCTGCTCTTGAGTCATTATGCTAACAATTAGTTACACTATTGTGGATAGGAAGATTTATTTCAAGAACCAGCTTATTTTTTGCATATATCTCAATTATAAGCTAGAGACTATACTGGGATTTATAAATAGATGTGTTAGTAGATCTGTCAGCTGTTTGTATTTGAATGGCACTGATACACTACCTGGATTTTCCTCTTTCCCCTTTGTGTACCACATATGATGTGCTTCCCACCCCCATCTTCTAATTTTCTTCCCTTTAATTGGGTTTCAAAAGGACAGCAGACTCATCACATCATATAGCTACATTGTGGTTGGTTGTCCCCTATCTACATGGGAATTTGCTATGGCTGTGAATATTTTATTTTTTTCTTTTATCCCTTCCCAATAGACCTACCAATTCCATCATGTAGGCTTAGTTATGATTGTTGTCTTGATATAGATGCTACTAGAGTTAGTGATAGATTGTTGCTTTATTGTTACATTTGGACATTCACAAGGTGAAGGTGAATGTTTTTATTGACTCACTTGTTTGTTGCACCAGAACTACCTCCACATTTCCTTAAGTATAAAAGCTTGCCATTTAGATGTTCATGTTTTTTTTATTGCAGATTATTTTGAAGAACTGCCCCTCATTTCCCTGTCTTTCATTTAAAAATATTTCTTGTTGGTGACTCAAATGCAGCCTTCCCTAGAGAGGGGAAAAAAAATTCAGTTTTTTCTTGCTTGCTTACTCCATCCATCCACCCTTCCTCCCTTCCTTCCTTTCTCCCTTCCTCCCTTCCTATTTAAGCATTAGCTTCTGCCAGGATATTAATAATTGTCTTTGTTATTTGTCAGATACTCCTTTTGGACAGGTGGGGATGTCCCAAATTCAGATTACCCATCTGGTTTGGTCACATTACAGGACTTGCGTTATCCCACTTTGTGTTACCCATTTTTATAAACTGTGACAAAGCATATTATATATGCCATATGCTGTGCCTGAGTTTTTAAGCAGAAGTGGTAGAATATGGTAAAGTAAGCATCCGCTCAAATTCCTAGAAAAGGACTCTTATTTAATAGCTTTTTTTTTGTTTGTTTGCTTTGTTTCATATGTCTAGGGAAGGGAAAACCGCAAAAAGTTAATTTGTGTGTGACTATTAATACTAATATTAAGAAAGGGCAATGAAATTCAACTTTTTTTTTTTCTTTAATCTTCAGGATCAAAATACTTGCTGAACAGAGGAGTCAGAGACCAATAAAAGTAAACTCCTACTTGAACGTCATTTGACTGGTTAGCCAGGTAATTCATTTTTTCATTTTTTGTTTTTTTTTACTTGATCCTTTGTAATTTTCTGACTTCACCCTCTGAAGATACTGCTCTCTTCTTTAACCTTTATCGGACGAACGGGAACTTTAGTTCCCGGCAAGGAGTGGGTCCCACTGGCTGAATGGGAACTTTCGTTCCCACTTCATTTGAGTTATTTCTCGCTCCTTCTGTGATGATGGTTGGAGTGCATGATAATGTCAGGACTATTTTTCTCTCTTTATTTATTTATTTATCTCTATTTATTTATTTATCTCTATCTGCCGTCTTTTAAAGGTTAATTTATGGTTTAATCTTAAACTTGTTTTATATTTCTTGTTTTTCTCTTTAATGATTAGTTGAATAAGTGCATGGTATTGGAATGAGTGAATATGTATATTGTATATATACAGAAACATCAACTTTTTGGGGGACTAGGGAACTATATGTTACAGTTTAATATGAGGCACTACCCTCCCTCCCTCCTTGTTCTTGTGTGTGAATATTTTAATGGCATTTAGTCAAAATCTGAATCAGCCCCACATATTTTTACTATTTTTTACCTTGTGAAGACTGGTTTTTCCAGATTGCTTGTGTGGGCATATAACATTTCACGTAACTCCTCTCCTAAGTTTTATTATTGCATCAGAGTAGAAAAATGAATATAGAAAAAGTTGTTTGGTAGCGGAAAAAGTAATTATGTTGTGTTTAGCTAGTTAAATTTCTTTTTGTTAGTAATACCATCATTCTCTAGACTTGAAATCTGAGTCTTTGAATCCCACCTCCCCCTTAGATACATTTAGTAATCAGGCCTTATCTGGTTTTCTATTTTCATGTCTCCTGTATTTGTTCCACTTTCTTTTATTAATCTTAGCTTCCTAGGCCAAGACCCCATAATTTCATGCTTATTTTTGTCTAAATGTTTCTTTACTGCTTCTTATCTACTGTTTCTACCCACTGGAAATGTACGCGGGCATAAGGATTGATACATAAATCAGTAGAATGGAATAAAGATTAGAAAGAGATCAGAGCAATGCAATGGAAAAAGGAGTCTTTTCATCAAATAGCCCTAAATGAAATATCCATACTTAAAATAATGATCCTCAATCCTTTCTTCACACCATACACAAAATTTATTTCAAGATGGACCACAGACCTAAGTATAAACCTAAAACTATAAAACTTCTACAAGAAAACACAGGAGAAAATCAGGTAGTCACTGGTCTGCTTTAAGTCAGTACAGTTTTCTTTTCTTGAATTTCATATAAATGTTATTCCCCTTATGCATATATTACACCTTTTGTAATTGTTCCACATTTCTTGGATATTTTGTTCTTCTTTTGTATTTTTTCTCTTTATATTTCAGTTTTGTAAGTTTGTATTGGTATATCTTCCAGCTCGCTTTCTTTTTTCCCCCCTCAGCTGTGTCTAGTCAGCTGATAAGCCCATCAAAGGCATTCTTCATTTCTGTTAGTGTTTTTGATTTCTAATAGTCCTGTTTACTTCTTTCTTAGTTTTCATCTTTCTGTTTACGTTACCTATATGTTCTTGCATGTTGTCTACTTTTTCCGCTAGAGCCCTTAGCATATTAATCATAGTTAAAACGGCACATTTGGTTTCCAGTTTTTTAAAAAAAGCTATTTTTAAGGAACCTGATTCTTTCCTGTTTATATTAGCAAACTTTGGAGATTTCTTTGTATATACCATCAAAATCTGTTTCGATTTTTTTTTTTTTTTTAGTGCTCATGTTTTCTCATTTAAGAATATACGTGGTCACGTAAAAACTTGTACATAAATGTTCATAGTAACATTCGTAATAGCCAAAAAATGGAAAACAACCTAAATGTCTATCATCAATGGATGAATGGATAAATAAAATATGGTATATCCATACAATGAAGTATTATTCAGAAATAAAAAGAAATGAAGTACTGATATGTGCTACAACATGGATGAACTAGAAAGGATTATGATAAGTGAAAGAAGCCAGTCTCAAAGTACTAAATATTGTATGATTCCATTTGTATGAACTGTCCAGAATAGGTAAATCCATAGAGACAGAAAGTAGATTAGTGGTTGCCTAAGGTAGGGGTAAGAAAGATTGTGTGAAGTTGCGGGGATTGGGAGGATTAGGGGAGAGACAGCTAAGGGGCTCTGGGTTTCTTTTTGGGATAATGAAAATGTTCTAAAATTGGTTGTGGTGACAGTTGTACAACTCTGACTATACTAAAAGCCATTGAGTCATATACTTTAAGTGTAAGGTAAGTGAATTATATCTCAGTAAAGCTGTTAAAGAATATAGTTGACTTATTGAGGAATAGTAAGAGCTCTACGATGCCATTAAGGAATTTTATGGAAAAATATTGTTACCGGCTGGCCGAGCGTGGCTCAGCGGTTGAGCATTGACCTAGGATCCAGACGGTTGGGGTTCGATTCCCGGTCAGGGCACATGCCCGGGTTGCGGGCTAGGCAGCCAGCTGATCAGTGACTCTCTCATCATTGATGTTTCTGTCTCTCTCTCTCTCTCTTTCCCTCCTTTCCTCTCTCTGAAATCAATAAAGATATGTTAAAAAAAGAAAGAAAAGAAAAATATTGTTACCTTTCTCATGGCACTGACCAGCCTCAGAAGCTTTGCTGTCTCAAACATTCCTGGGTTTCAAAAATAATATGTTAATTGAACTCACCTCAATTTTTTTAAAACCTCATTCAGCCTTTGTTATAGTAGTCAACCTGTAATTATAGGGTTAATGTTAATTCCACAACAGTATCTTTTTCATGTGTCAAGAAAGTTTATATCCAAAAGAATTTATTCTTAAAAAAAATTAATTCAAAGTCATACCCAGACCTATCTGCACTTTTCTGTTGTCCATTAAACATTTGTAAGATACTTAACAGGTATTTTGTAGCAGAATGTTTAGAAATCAATTTTTGTTCTCAAGCTTATAATAGTAATTCAAAAAAATTACCAAGAAAGCCATAATTTTGGTGGATCTGCTATTTAGGGCTAATTAAGTGCTGTGGTTACAAGTGGAAAGGCCAAAGTTATTTTACTTGAGGTAATCAGACTACATTTAGTTTCTTGCCCCCCTTTTTATTGTCTTAGGTTTTAAACTTTAAAGAGTCTCTTATATGGAAAAAGGACTGATGACTAATGATACTATGTTTAAAATAGGTAACTGCTTTTGTGATGATATATAGGAGAATATTAATGCATTAATAATTTTAAAAGCTTAAATACTTTGAATTTAATGTTGATTGAACAGCTATTTACTTTAAAAGGTAATTTTTTTGAGCCGAGGTCACATATAAAAAAGATGATTTTAACAGAAAATTCCTGTTGATAGTTGTGCTTTATTAAAGCCAGGCTGAAGGCTGGTTTGCTTTGATGATGGAGCTTTCAAAATATGTAGAGAAAACTTAAAGTTGTAAGATCCATCTTTGACATGAACAACAGATATCTAAATTGTACTAATCTACAATCACCATTTTTTCTGATCTTGGTGAAAATGGATGGAGATGAGGTTTTAGTAGTTGTTCAGAGGGTTCATAAAAAGGACATTTTTATTGGACTTGGGAAATATAGACATAAAAAGGGTCAGATTGGTAATAACATACCTCTTGTAGTACTTAATTTTGTAACTTAATTAAGAAATACAGTTGGCTTAAATATCAGCTCAACGATATAAAAGTGAACTGTACAAATAGCCCAGTTTATTATAAATGGCCCTATCTCTCATGTGCCAAACTCTTAATTAATTAAATTTCTTATGATTCTTTGTTTCCAAAAACTGTTCTACCAAGAATATGTTTTTGAATCTGTATAATATTTAACATATAAAGCCTGCATTATCATGAAGCCGATATTGAAAACCTCTAAACTTCTGACCTTGAATAGGATTTGTTATGTATAACCATTACATGCTGCTAGTGGATTCAGAATTGCCTTTTCTGGGACTCTGCTTTGTGCAAAATAGTATGTATTGGGCATGAGTGCATGGCAGCTGACATTTATCAAGGATAACAGGGGCCTTACTCATTTTCACATTTTAAAGTAACTTTGAAAGCTTTGCATGCGTGCACACGTGGTCAACATATGTTCCTAAGATTTAAATATATTTTCCATCATGTATTAATGAAACTAAGTATTGATCTTCAATGAGCTTCATAGATTAAACTCATACTATGTGAGTACACAAACATACGATGTGAATATACTTTGTGAGTACACAAAGATTAGTTTAGGATATTTAATTCATTTCTGTAGAATTTTATCTTTTCTAGTTTTTAAATTATAACAAGTGAAAATGTGCCTAATGTATTCCAGGTAGCACTCCTAGTACACAGTGTGTGATTTGGCATTTCTTTCATTCCCCTACTATAAAATTTGAGCCTAATATAGAAAATTGACTTATAGAAATTATTTTTTTCTAAATCAACTACTAGTATATTGCTTTTCTGTTTAAAAGGATTTTTATAGAGCTAGTTATTTACTGGAGGGTGACATAAAGAGAATTGGAATTGTATGACTTTGAGTCTAGGTTCTTCGCTTTTTAAAATTTTCTTTAAAATTAGATTGTGATAATTTAGCAAGAATTCTAGAATTAAACTGCAAAGTTCTTCATGTGTTGACAAACTTGTTAATTAAAATAACACCTTTTAACGGTTTGTATGGGTTTCAGATGCTGCAACCCTTCCATATATTGATATGCAGATCACATTGACTTGCTGCGAGGTAACAGGAGACATGCTTTGACTTCAGAAGATAAATTGGCCATGTACAGCTGTAATCTTCCTGTCTTTTCATTTTTAGACATGATTTAGTAGTATAAGGCCCTGGGAAGTAAGTTAATTTTGTGTGTGTATGAGAATTTTTACTTGGGCTTTTGATAAGCCTGTTTTATGGTGTGAAGGTACCATGTAAATTGTGACTGTTTCATTACTTTACCTCTCTCCCAATTCCATTTGAAATATAAGAAGCCTGAGTTTTATTCCTTTCC